GGGGGGGGGGCCCCGTGCATGCAGCAGCAGCAGCAACAGCAGCAGCAGCAGCAGCAGCAGCAGCAGCAGCCATCGACCCCACCACCCTGTCTGTATCACCACCTGCTGCCTAGCGCCTTAATATCTGCAAATTCCCACAACTATTTTGCATTATTTATCTTCTTTTGTTGATATCTGCTTTATTCTGACTGGCTTCTGCTGCCTAAGATCGCACTGAAGGGGGGCCCCTGCCTGTACTGCTGCTGCCTTGGGGGGCCCCCCGTTGGTAGTGCTGCTCTCTGTATGTGTTTGCTTGTGCATGCACGCAGTGAGGGTTTCCCTTGCACTTAATTCATTGAAATTGCATGCATGCAATTTGTTTAGTTTTGTCTTGGGCGCTTCCGAGAGACAGAGGAGCCGCGGATGACGGCCTTAAGTGGCCGGGGGCCCCTTGCTGCTCCAGTTGCTGCTGTTGCTGCTTCTGCTGCTGTTGCTGCTGCTGCTGCTCTTTTTCGCTTGCTCCTGTTGTGCATATGTTCGGGCTCGTCCTCTACACATATTGACGCGAGTGCTGAAGCAGCAGCAGCTCTGCTTGAGGTGGCTGCAGCTGCTGTCTTACTGGCGCTGGTTCTTGTGCGCCGTGGCAGCAGCTGCTGTTTCTGATGGTGTTTATGCTTTTGCTTTCGCTGCTGCTGCTGCTGCTGTTGCTGCTGTGTTTGCTGCTGCGTAGAGAGAGGCCGTTGCGTGTCTGCTTCTACGTAGAGCCTTGATCTGTATTTACTATGCATGTATTTCCTTCTTCTTCTTGCGGTGTACATACAGCTTACCTAAAGCTTTTGCTTCTCCCGGGTCCCCTGCTGAGGACGCCCATAGAGAGCAGCTTCAGCAGCAATTCGTCTGCTACCTCTGTCGATACAACACAGAAGGCTGCAATCTCCTCGCTGCTGAGATGCTGCTTCCTCTTCGCCATCTCTCTGCATTGCTCTATTAAAGCCACTGCTGCCTTCATCACGTCGGGGGGAGGCATGCCTTGCTGATCTTGCTGCTCCTCTTGCTGCTGCTGCTGTTGTTGCTGCTGCTGCTGTTGCTGCTAAGAAGGAAAAGATGAGATACGAAAGGATTTGTTGTAAAGAGATGTATTACCGAAGAGCTATTTGGAGGGGTAGATGGCTTTGCTGCAGGCAGTGCGCAGCAGGTGGCAGACGCCGTTGTGGAGGCTGCTGCTGCTGCTGCAGCAGCAGGGGCCTTCTCCGTTGCTGCTGTGCTTAGCCGTGCAGCAGGGGGCCCCTTTGGGGTTGGGCGCCCCTGCTGCGGGTCGTGTGCATATTCCAAGGGTCGCGGGGGCTCAGGAAAGAACGTGTGTTGTGCTGCTGCCGCATTTTGCTGCTGCTGCTGCTGCTGCTGCTGCTGCTGCTGCTGCTGTCCTTCGCGTGAAGGCGGGCCCCCCTGCAGCGAAGGGAAAGGAGGCCCCTCTGTGCTTTTTTTTGGAGTTGCTGCTGACTGCTGCTGGTATTTGCTGCTTCTCGCCCGCGTTGCATTTGCTAATAAGAAATTTTGCTGCTGCTGCTCATGCTGTTGCTGCTGCTGCTCCTTCTGCTGAAGGGTAGGCGGACAGTGGCCCCGTTGATGATATTTGTCTGCTATTTAGGGGCCCCAAGAGGGTAGTTTATAAATGTGAATAGAAAAAAAAGACAAAGAAGAAAATAGAACATACCTGCAGCAGTAAACCCTGCTGCATGCAGCTGCTGCAGCGCTGCGGCAATAAAAGGCTTGGAGTTCTTTCCGAGTTTATCTTGCAGGCGATCGATGTCTTCTTCATCTAAAAATATAAATATTAAATATATATCTTTATTCATGTGTTTTGTTGTTTTCTTTGTTCTCTATCTTTATTGCGTTTGTTATTTGCTCGTTTTGTTGGTTTTGTTTGTTTTGTTGGCTTTGCTCGCCGGTTTTGTTTTTGCTGTTTTGTTTGTTTTATTGTTTATAGTTTGTTTTATTGCCTTGTTGTTTGTTTTTTATTTTTGTATGTTTTGTCTTGAAGTTTTTGTGTTTTATTTAATTGTTTTTGTATATTATTTATTGTTTGCATTTCAATGATTATTTTATATATTTTATTCTTTACGTTTTATTATTATATTTTTATTTCTTTACGATTGCTAGCTTTACCTGTAGCCATGATGTATGCCTTCACCTCCTCCACTATGCGCAGCACTGAAGAGAATTCGATGTATTACATTTTCTTATTCTTATTCTTACTGTAGGGAGGCAGCAGATTTAGAAGTGTATACTAATTTATTAATTATTAGATGTATAAAGAAATGAATACATGCATGCATAATATATATATATATATATATATTATTGATATTTGCCTCACCAGCTTGTCGCCCTCCGACGAGCGCAGGCGAAATCTGCGGAGGGTCGGCGAGGGATTGAATGGAGAGTTTGAGGGAATGGTGCTTCGTGTCTATCTGTTCAAAGAAAAAGAAATCATTAATTAGCTGTACAAGCATGCATGCATGCATGCATGCATGCATGGAAACAAATTATAAATAAGATGTACATGCATGCACGCACGCAAACAAAATAGAAATTAGCTATACATGCATGCATGCTGCATGCATGCGTGTTTGTTTTCAGAGTATATATATTCTTACCTTTTCGCTGATGGCAGTGAAGGGCACCACTCCCCCAAAAGATATGTCGTCTAGTTTTTGTATGAAGCCCGTTGGGGTGTAGTCAGGGGGTGCCTGTTTATAAGCGTTATTCTTTTTTTTGTTTTAAGTTGTTTATTTCGTTTTATGTTTGTCTGTCTTTGCTTTCTCACCTTTGTCTCGTTGAAAAGCAGCTGGAAAGAAGAAGGAGAAGGTCCATTAAATAGTATTTTTTATTGCAGGCGCAAGCAAAGCAAAAGGGGGTCCTTCTTACCCTCAAAGATACATAAGCGTTGTCTGGTAGGGGGTCGAGTTGTTGCGTAATTGCACAGAGAGACTGAAGAAGCTGCGAAAGAAAAAGAAAACAAAGGGTGTCGTTCAATAGCAAGTGCATCGTGCAAGGAAGCAGCATATTTTTACAGCTTCTGTTTGCCTTTTCGCCTCTGCCTTAGACACGGGAGGATCTGTACGAGCCTCGCGAGGCGCCCTGCTGCCCTTTAAAGCAACAGAAACTGCAGGTTGCTGCTCGCCATAGCCGAAGGTGAATTCGTACGACTCCAGGAGCGCGTCTGTTTCTTCTTCGTGAATGCCAAGAAGCAGCTGTTGCAAACACTCCTAAACCAAAAGATTCAAGTTGTTTACTCCTAAACTGATGAAAAAAAAGAAGAAAGAAGAGAAACACCCACCTTTTGCAACGCGTCGTTCACTCCCGTTCGCAAAAGACGAACGAGAAAAGCTGACTTTTTATCAGCAGGTCGCAGTTGGACCAATTTAAGGCCTTCAAACCAAACAGAAGCAAAAGCCGCTTCATCAAATATATTCCGAAGGTACAAAACTGAAGAAACCCCCAAAGAAACCGTATTTTTCAATATCTGCAATGACTGCTGGCGGGTTGTGACTTCCACTCGCGTTCGCGTGGAAACTTGCAGCATCTTCACTCATCCAATATACAAAAAACCAAAATAAAGTATCTTTTACTCGCCACTTTTCAGGATTCTATATATTTAACCTACAAAACCTCCTGACGAACACGCAAACGGAGAGCAGTCGGAGCTGCACATACACCCGAAACCTGCAGCTTTCCTTTGTAACCCTGAGAAGCAGAAAACGAATCAGAAGAACTCCTCTTCTGCTGCATCTACTCTAAACATTTTAATTGATAATTTTTCATTATTGATAACCGCTTCTGGTGTTCACTGACACTTCGCCAGAATACGCATAAACACACCTCGTACAAGTTGAAGGCGAGAACAGAAGAGCAGACATATTATTATTATTATTCTTATTAATAGAGCGTTCCAGACAAACATATTACTTGCAGAGACAATTAAATAGTATCTTATCTCCTCCTCTTAAGTTACAAAGGCCCCGAAAACATTTATTTTCCTTCAGCCGCTTTTCAGTTTGTACATCGCGCC